CCTCATTGCTGTGATCTTAAAAGCATTTAGGCCAGGTATGCCAGGTATGATTTGCAAAGTGGATTTCAGTTGTGCCATTGCTGGAATAAAAGCCAAAGAAATATGGAGAATATGGAGAAAGCTATTCGTAAGCATTCACCTCAATAGCAGTTTAAAGGCAGCAAACGAGGAAAAAGGTAATACAAACATTTAAAGGCCCTCCAAAACAAAACTGGGCATTAGTAAAATATTGAGTTTACTATAGTGAAATATTTAAGCAATATTTATCACTGAGTTGGAGAAAGGATCACCTCCTTGTGTCAGTATTTTGTTGAACCACCTTTTGCTTTAATTACAGTCTTTAGTCTGTTGGGATTTGTCTCTGTCTCTACTAACTTTACACATCTAGACTTCGCAATATTTGTCCACTCTTCTTTGCAGAACTGCTCAAGTTCAGTTAAATTTGATGGTGAGTGTTTGTGGACTGCAGTCTTCAAGTCATTCCACAGATTTTCAATCGGGTTTAAGTCTGGGCTCTGACTAGGCCATGCAAGGACATTCACCCTTTTCTCCTTCAGCCACAGTGTGCTCAGTTTTACGGTGTGCTTTGGGTCATTGTCATGTTGGAAGGTAAACCTTCTTCCCAACTTTCTGGCAGAGAGCAGCAGATTTTCCTCAAGAATTTGATGGGATTTTTCCCCCATCCATTTTTCCTTCTATCCTATCCTATAGTGCTCCAGAGAAACACCCCATAACAGGATATTACCGCCTCCATGCTTTTATTTGGATGGTGAGCTGTTTTGGATTTCCGACAGACATATCATTTGGTGTTGAGGCCAAATAATTCACTTTTAGTCTCATCTGCCTCAGAATCTTCAACATGTGCTTTAGCAACGCTCAGATATGATTGCATGATTGTTTGCTTCAGTTGCACCACCAAGAGCTGAAATGCTTCAGGAAAGCTCTTTTCATGCTGAACTAATCAAAATAACCACAGCTGATCACAGTTGAAAGTCAAATGGCTTTGTGTGCCATTTTGAGAAGGTGATTAGCTACACCTGATTGAGTTTACCAGTCATTTTTAGGAGGGGGGTGATTCTTTTTCCAATTCAGTGATTGTTTTTTTTTTTTCTGACATGTTGGTGTTATATCTTTCACTTGGATGTTATAATTAAGGCCCGTCACGTTCATATTCGCGCGATTTTTTGTGCAGCTGGTCAGTGAACAACAGCTCTGTGTAGTTAATGCTTCTCAATGTGAAAGCACGCACGTGATGGAGATTTACCGCTGATTACAGAACCGGCTTTCTGACAAGATGTGCATTAAATATTGCATGCGATAAATTAAATTTATCGTGCAGCCCTACTTTATTATCTAACTTTTATGGTGTGTTTTTGTCATTTTGGAGCGTCCCAGCCCCCATCCACTTTGTTGCTCCAAAATACTATCTTGTGTAAACATGTTAGCCATCATCATTTATGTTAGCCATCAAATGTTAGCAATCATCATTCCATTTAAGCCCATTTGTCTTTCAGTAACTACACATCTCTACATAATAGTATTACACGTGTAAGTTAGGTATTTTTGAACCTTACAGTGAATGTAGTCAGATTCAAACTTTTATATATGGCATTATCAACAGAATGCTTAAGATCGCATGTTTCAATTTTCTTTTGGATCAACCTCAATTTAATTAACATCTGCATAAAAGCTCTTCAGTTTGACTGCTAAAATGTATGTAAACATAGCAGGTGAAGTATTCAAATCCATTCAGTTTCAGGACGCTGCAACGAAGTGGGAAAATAAATGATGATCATAATGCTATTTCATGTGTTTTTGATGCTATTGTCATACTCCTCAAGACTTTTTCCATTTAACTGGAATTTCCATCTATGAAGCCCTGGGTGCAACTATTTTCTTCAGCACAGACAGAAATGTGAATGAAAAGTCTTTATTTATAACCCGCTAAGCTTGATTTTTCATCACTGGAAGGTAGCCAGAGATTAAACTGTGACAAGTCAACCGCCAAAACCATTCATTCTTTCCTTGGAAAAGTTCTGTAATCCTACTCTCCTTTTTTCAGTAAAAAAAATAAACAATGGCATTCAATTAACACCATACAGCAAAACAACAAAAAGCTGAACAGGAAAATCCCCTTGGCTCATTCCTAATCCCAAACATTAAAAAAGTGTATCATTCATGCACTTTTATGAAACAGTACAGGATATCTGTGACCTCCCTCTGAAGCCAGCTTTACTGAATCCTGTGCATATAAACATCCACTGCTTTTCATCATGGTATTTTGTAAATGCTCTTAACATTTTTAATCCTTTATATTTAGAGTGCAGCTTTTTACAGCAAACAAAACGCCTGCCACTGAACTTCGCATTGATTTGTGCAAGATGTAGCAGAGATTGGTTGACACATTTACAGTTTTAATCATTCCATAAAATGATTCCATAAACCAAACTTCATGTTATTTCAAAGTCTGTATGTGCGGGTAATGCTATTTTATTAACCCTGCACAGTCACTTAAAGGGGTCATATGATGCGATTTCAATTTTTCCTTTCTCTACTACGGCTATGTGTAGTAAATGCTGCTCCATCTGAAAGCACGTGATGATGATTTCTTGCTGATTACAGAACCGGCTTTTTTAACAAAATGCGCATGACAATCGCATTCGATTAATCGTGCAGCCCTAGGCGTAACTTTTATTCTCGCTGTAGTATTGTTGCCGCCGCCGCCATGTCGTCAAGGCGCTGTGTGCTTCGTTGTGAAAGCGAAACTACTTTGTTTAGCCTTCCAAAAGAGGACGATATCGCTTATGCATATAATGCATATAATGCATCATGCCTGGAGCTGATCCGTGCTGGTCGCTGAGGAAATACTTCAACTTCGCGCTGTCGATCACCGAATTGGCTTTCACCGTGGACGAAGCGGAGTCCAGCCCGGGGTCGTCACATGTGGTTGCCAGGTATCACAGTATGGTAAGGGACCTAACATTTCCATCACACGCTTGAGGAATTCGGCCAATCACAACGCACTGGATAGCTGGCCAATCAGAGCACACCTCGCTTTTTCAGACCGATGAGCTTTGTAAAAATCGACGCGTTTCAAAAAGGCGGGGCATAGAGGTGAAACAATAATGTACAGTATGTGGAAAATAATGTTTTTTTAACCTTAAACCGCATAAACACATTTCATTACACCAAATACACAAAATAATGTTCTTTTTAGCAGCATCATATGACCCCTTTAAATGTTTACAGTTTACAACATGTACAGTGATTGCGAGCTCTTATCTTACTTTTTACAATTTAGATGAGATCCCATTGTTTTGGTTTTGAAGTAAGTAGTGAAAATAAATAAATAAAAACTATTTTGGTGGAAACTTTACTTTCTGGAACTACGGCCATAGAAAGTGAAACAAATCTCATGCCGTTTAATCCACGGACGGGTATTTAATGAACGATCGCCCGACAACAAATGCAACACCCACCTATGCGTTTGCCATTCTCGTATGCCACGATCTTGCACTGCTCTTGGTAAACTAACTCCTGGGATTTCGTCCTTTTGCGAAGCCTACGCACACAAGACATGACATGGCCTGGCCGAAATTCCTCAAATGGATCGACTGTAATCGGCTTGTCTAGAAAAATAACATGAGGCGAGAAAACCATGACGTTTGCGAGTCTCTTTCTATGGGCGGGTTCTAAACCTGCGAAAATCATCCTGGATTGGGTTTTTGTGATTCACTTGCTCTATGTATCTCAGATTTTCGCATCTATACGTCTGGCATGTTATGGAATGCACTGTGATATTTAAATATATTGTGCCATAATAACAATATATGTAATATTTTTGCTTGTTGGTATCGTTTTCTCAGCCTGCTTAAATACAAAACCACTTTACGTCCTCCTGATAGAAGTTTCCGTGTAACATATAGATTTATCCTGATGTCTACAAACGAGCCTTCTCTCTTGAGACATCTCGCTTATGGAAGAATCTTTGGTTGAACGAATCTTTTAAATGGAGGAATAGGTCTGATTTGACTCCTAGCTATTTAGTTTGCTGACGTTTCTCCCCTTTAAAGCTCAGGATTGCTGACCAAAACGCGAACCAATAGCATTCCAGGCGGGTTGTGATAGATCAGTTCATTGGCTGGACCTGCTGAACGAACCGCCCCATGCACTGAACAAGCCAAGACTCGTAGCGGTACTAAATGAGACAAACTGAATGAACTGGATATCTGCATCTGCTGACCAACTAAAGAGGCGTCATGTCGTTCAATTCAGTTCTGCTTGTGAGAGTCCAACTCTTTACCAAAGAGAGAACGGTGGTGAAGAGTTATCCATTTGAGCTATTTCTGTATTCTTATAGCTTTATTAAAGTCATATCAAACATAAAATCTCTATAGAATCTAAGCAGATGTAATTTGAACAAATCAGTAAACGAATCTAAATGAATCTGTTAGGGAACCGACTCAAATATACGAGTCACTTTAATGAATCACTAGTTCAAACGTAATTTGGCATAGGGCGCCTTCTTCTGGTTGAATCCTCGCGTGACATTAGTTAACGTCATGCTGAACGTGGGTTGGTGCAAATGAAGGTCCACGAAAAGAATATGTTATTCATACAATATATAAACAACGTTAACTCCACTAGTGTGTATTTGTTTGTAAGCTGCAATGCTCATAAATGACATGGTTTTATTGTGAACTCATGCATCTGTTTTACCCTGTATATTAAAGTTCTCAAATGTAAGACAAGTCAGCAAACTCCTGAAGTGATGGAAAATGTTCTATGCTCTACATTTATTAGCAGTTCTGGGTGTGCAACAGTAAACAAGATGGTCATTACACGTCGCATGACTGAAAAGAACCTCGCGAAAGCAAAAACCAAGGTAAAATATTTAACAATCTGTTTCAAATAAACTTGTTTTGTATAAAATCTGTATTGTAACATTCAAATATTCACATTATGGTGTTCATATAGCCATTATTTATGAATAGCCTGTTCTGTTGACACTTCAAATCAATTTTCTTTACACTTCTCGCACGGAATAATTATGACATCACTGCAAAACTTACCGAATCTGCCGACATTTCCATTGACTTCCATGATTCTTTCTGTTGTTTTATTTAGCGTTTGCTTTCAGTTGTAGTATATTTCAGTTGGAAAAAGACCTTTCGCGTCCCAAAGCCACTCAGAGCCGCTCAGATACTGACTGGGATGAGTAAAGCCCGTCCACTGACAGGAAAGTTCAGTGCGCTGTGTGTGTGGAACCCGCCTGTTACACTAGTGCAGTATCGAGAATTCGCCAACACCCACAACAACACCGGTCTTTCAAGTCTCTGCTCTCAATGATGCCCTGAAAAATGTCATTTGTTTCCACCCATTATGAACGACTGAAGTTCAGGCTAATTCAGAAACGCGTCTGCTTTCTGAACGAGCTCTTGTCTATGATTAATTTCTTAAGAAATCCGCTCTTGTCCTGTAATTCCACTCCCGAGTGTGTTGTTCAAAGACTGAAAACGAATAAAACCTAAATGTTGGCTAGAGTTGCCACCTGGATGTGTTTCATAAGCACATTATCTTATCATTTAGGTGTAAAGAAATAAAAGTCAGTGTAGTCTTTGATTTACATTCAGTGTTTTCAGATTGAAAACATTTTTAATTTCACTGCCAGGAGATTAAATATCATCTATGGGGGCCTGTGAGACTTCATGCTACAGCTTGTTTTGTTTTTATGTTCCACTTCAGGTTGGATTTATCTGAATATGGGACTTTGTATAAATGGAAGGCTATTTATTTGTTTAGTGTTAGGCTAAATGTTACATATTAGTGATTTGTTGTGAGCGATTGTGTTGCATCGGCTGACATGATGGGACAAAATCGGAACACTTCCAATCAAACTGTCTACACAATACCCGAACAAGAGGGTGTGAAGTCCAATAGCATACAGCCTCTTTGCTTTATGATGATGGGGATTTTGAAAATCATCCTGCTTGGCAACTTTTAGCACACCCTTCAAAACCAGGCCATTCCTGATCTTCAGGTATGTAAAGGTGTGCATGTTATTTTTGGATTGGGTAACATGTTATGTCATTAATTTATGGCCATGTTGCATATGTATACCATCACATGTGACTTACCACCACTATAATGTACAAAAATTCAGATGTTTTTGATTTTCTCCAAAACTAGACTGCAAAAATGCATTTTTCTTATACAAAAAGCATTTTCTCTCATATGCACCACTTAATATGTAATTTAAAAATATGAAAATTAATGTTGAGTAACATGTTGTAAGTAACAATATTTACAAATGAAACTAAAGATGTCTATTTAAGATGGCACAAAAACACTTTTCAAGAAAAAACACAAAATGTTTTGTTAAATGTTTATAATGCAAATCAATAACATATTTACTTATTCTATAGTCTCCTATAAGACTGCATTTATTTGAGCACAATAAAGTAAAAACAGTAATAATGTGAAATATTATGATTTAAAATAACTGTTTTTTTTATTTTAATATATTTAAAAAAAAAGCCATTTATTAATGTGTTATCGAAGCTGTATTTAATATTTTGTAATATTTTTATAAATGTCTTTACTGTCACTTTTTATCAATTAAATGCGCAACTTGCTGTACGAAAGTATTCATTTCTTTAAAAAAAAATCTTACTGACTTCAAACAGTAGTGTACATTTTGTGGTTTAAAAGTCCATAAGTTTTAGTGGCAGTTTTAAATGTCTTTCTTGTTAAGATAATTTAAATAAATCGCTCTGGATACGGAGCTTTTCTTTTTTAGGAGTTTCCTCCATTTGCTGCTCACTGCAGAGCAAATGGGTGGAGCTAGACGTCCAGTGGGGAGGAGCTACACGGACGTCCAGTGAGGAGGAGCTACAAAGCGCAGAGGGCACCGTTTGGAAAGATGTTGGACGGTGACGGTCACAGACAATTCGAGGTAATGGCAGTATGTAAAAACTAAACTTTAAAGATAAACTGAACTTTGAGACGTGTGTAAAATATTTCCTTAGACTTATCTCGACATGAATGTTAATGTTAACATAAATATTTAGATATACATTTATTAGGGGTTGAATGGATCGTAGTTGATTTGTGATCCTTATGGACAGGCCCCATGGTTCGGCACCATGTGATCCTCGGATTAATTGCCAAAATTTAAACATAATAGAGTGAAAGTTTATCTTTTGTACGTGTATATACACTCGATTTTAAACTATTCTACCTCAAGAACAGGCAAAAGAGAATTAATTCGGTGTTCGCGCGCTTTTTTCTATGCGCACAGCCGCACACGCGGAGATGTGCGTTTCAAAGCGGTGAACACCAAACTAACCCCTCTTTCGCATCTCTTTGCTTTTGAACAGACACATACACATAAAATTATGACAAAATACGCATCTCACAAACATAGTCGGTTATGTCTTAAGCGAACGTAAACAGCTGAGAAAGAAATTGGATGTGTATCATCCCAGTCAGCAAATTTCCTTTGGCGCGGATCTGGCCCATATCACATATGGCTCTCAGTTGTGTGCTATCATCTGGGCCATATACCTCAAAAAAATTGTCATCCAAAAGAAAATTCCCTCCAATTCTAAAGCCATGGCAAAACCGATATGGTTAAAGTTTGGCCCATATGTGCTCAGCCATGCCATACCTAGGCCAAATGTGACAGCTATCAGCCACATTTGGCCCAAACGTTCTTGCTATCTGGGATTATACTGGATCCGTGCATCATGTCTTAAAGGGGGCATAAAACACATTTTCACCCAATCTCATGTTAATCTTGAGTACCTATAGAGTAGTACGGCATCCTTCATATCTCCAAAAAGTCTTTAGTTTGATCATATTTATAAAAGAAAGATACAGCTTTACGATTCTCTCCAGGAAAAGCCGTGCTCCTGGAGGCGCGCCGTGGGCAGAGCTAAAGAGTGATGAGCACTTGGGCGCCGAATGCCAACAAAACAGACATTTGATGCCGTTTCACTTACCGTCTGCAGTTCTGAATCATGACCGGGATCTTTTATAGCTGGGACCGCTCCATCTTTCAGTATCAAACCATGTGCTAATCCAGCTTCGAACTGGGCCTTGTTTATAAAACGTTCCTCAACAAACACACTTGTGAAACTCCGTTGCTGCCCCGGAAAAACAAACTGTATCCACTGTTTATATAACGCTGGATTCTTTAGGAAGCTGAACAAGGTTATCTTTCCCTTACAACCAAAAACACACTTCTTTGGATTGGAGACATTCTTCCCCAGCAAGTCCCGTGCAGCGTTGCCGCTGGATGAAGTGCGTTGATCTCGCTCTCGCTCTGGTCGATGCGTGCGCGGGCGCGTTCTTCCGGGAGTAATGCCCATATAAGGAGTTCCACCCACGTTTACGTCATTAAGAGCCACGATCGAAAAAAAACTCTCAGAATCCTGTACGAACCCGGAAGTAAGATTTTTGGCACAGAAATACTCTGTCATACGTCCAAATTGTTTTTTGAAACTTTGTCCATGGTTAGCATGAGAATCCAACTCTTTAACAGTGTAAACAACTCTGAATGCATGAAACAGCATTGTAACCCCCTTTAAAGGGGAAGCAGCCTATAAATACCTGCTACTGTCATTTAATTCTAATCAAACAACAAAACACAGCTTTGACAAAGATTCATCTATATTTAATTTATACAGTGAACACTATGCAGTGTTATTTTACACTTAATTATTATATTTCTGTACCTCAACACTACTGAACTTATTTTATTTTTATCTTTGTTCTTTTGTATTTATTTGTGCTTGTAATTTGTGTATTTGTTTTACTGGCTGTTCACTTGTCTTTACTCATGTTTGAACTTTATTGGTTAGGTTAGTAGCTAGTTTTTGCTGTGGTATCGAAGAAATACTTAGCTTTAAGTAATAAATGGAAAGCAAAGCTACATTTAAATAATTTTTTTTCTTGCTAATACAAAACACGAACCGATCCGTGAGTCAGAAACCGTAAAAATGAACCGTGAGTTTTGTGATCATTATTTATTTTTGCTGATAGATGATGTTAATGGTGTGTGTTTGTTTAATCTGCACAGAAGCATCAGACAATACTGAATAAAGGACACGGTCCCCTTCTCTCTGTTGAGAGATGCACAATCTGCTGCAGAAAATATCACTGTGCCTACTGCAAACTGGTGTATAACCATTTAAATGAGCTACAAAATCATGTAGTAGATCATGTTCGAGTTGCAGTTCATCATAAAGGAATGTGCGTGAATTATTGTAAGTTTCTTATACAGTTAAATTATTGTGTGGTCATGTTTTAAAGTTATGAATCCTTTTGTTTTTCACATGTTTTGGCCTTGGTCATTTCTCCCTAGACTTTGAAAATAAAAACATAATTTCATTTAACATTTCCTTGCATTGTGAAACCTTTGGAAAGTCTGAATCTCAAAGGTTCATATACTTCTGCACACAAGGATTAACTAAATAATCCAAAAATATTCAGACTATGTGTTTTCTGTTAATCACGTCATATTTTATCAGAAAATGTAGCGTAGATGAAGACAATAGAGTATGTCTAAAATATGCAAAAAACAGACTTCCAAAGGGGTTCGTAAACTCAGTTTAATTAAATCCTGTTGTGTGAACTTAGCATAACTGTTTGGACAGAACAAAATCTTCACCCACACTGGTCCTATTGACTGGGCATCTGGTAATTCCAAGATGAATCTTTTTATGTTCGTGAGCAAGTCGCTTTACCCCAAAACCTCTACAGGGGCACTGCACTGTATAAAATATTGTAAACAAGACAGTTGATCAAAGTTATTCTTTCTACGTTTTAGATTATGTCATCGTAAAGTGCAATCAGGACTGCAGACAAGCAGCACATTTTCACTGCTGCTACTGCACATCAACATTGATCAGAAGGGATGCTCTGATTAAACATCTAACAAGTTGCAAAGAAACGTCATTCAGACAGCCTCCACCCGCAGCAGCAGCAGCAGCACCTCCAACAGCACCAACTCCATCTCCAGTAGCACCACCTCCACCTCCACCTCTAGCAGCACCAGCTCCAGTATTTACGGCAGCACCACCCCCAGCTCTATCCCCATCAGCGCCACCTCCAGTAGCACCAATTCCATTCCCAGCAGCACCACCTCCACATCCATCCCCAGCAGCACCACCTCCAGCTCTATCCCCAGCAGCTCCACCTCCATACCCAGCAGCACCATCGTCAGTAGGATTATGTGTCAGGCAGCAAGTCAGGGTGACTTGCATGCACTGTGGCATTCAAATAAATAAAAGGAACTTGCTGGTTCACATTAACAGAAAACACAGGCAAAAGGTAACCGAAATTTCAGCTAAACGGCACCTGTCATGCCAATGCATTGATGCCAAAAATGGCATCTCTGCTGTTAACAAAGCATTCTTTAAGCCTTGCTCTCCTATACATGTTCAGAAAAAAACATGGGGTGCAAGCCAAAACATAATCTGTGAACTGAATGAATGCAAGACAAATTCTGAATTTGCAGTCAGGAGTAGAATTCTTCCTTATGAGTGCATGCATCTAAAGTCTTTGCTGTTCTGCCCACGAATGGACAATGCATCCATCATTATGGAGGAGGAGGTGCTTTCAGAAATGGTTGCTGCGAAGATATTTGGGGACACAAGTAAGCAAAGCTGCTTAAACCGCCAAAAAGCAGCTGCTGATGCAGGTGTTGCACTTGCAGTTAAGGTGACTGTTGGAGGGCCTCCTTCCAAAAAATTCTTATCAATATACGAGTGTAACAACGTTCGTAGGTCGGGAAGAAGGAGGCGGGAACCGGCGAACATTTAAGATTTTAATAAAATAAACAAACACAAAATGAAAGTAAAGCGGTAGCCCCTCACGGCGACTGCCGCACACAAAACACAAAATAAAGTCCAGGCCTGGTCCTCTCTCGTCCAACACTGTCGTCACTCCTCCTTTTATCCTAACGGAGCTCCTCCGTGGGACTCGAGACTGGTGAGTGGCGCAGGTGTCGTGCATTAGCATTTACTCCACCGGCCTCGCTCCGTTCCCACGGCTCTCGGCCCCGCCCCTCTCGTCACATACCCCCATCGCCCCTCGCAGGCCGGGAGGTACTCACGAGACTGCGCTCTACTCCCCCCTCCTCCCTCTGGGAGAGCCGATCACGGCGGCCGCGGCGTACCTGGGGGTAAGGACAGACAGACGAGGCGAGAGAAAAGGAGACGGAAGGATGAGGAGAGACAGAGAGGGGAGAGAGCACCACGGACTCACCACAGCGGCGAGGGATCTCTGGCAGCGTGTCCCTCCTTCCTCCCGGGTTTCGGCACCAATGTAACAACGTTCGCAGGTCGGGAAGAAGCGAACATTTAAAGAAAACTTTAATAATAAAACAAACACAAAATGAAAGTAAAGCAGCAGCCCCTCGCGGACGACTGCCGCACACAAAACACAAAATAAAGTCCAGGCCTGGTCCTCTCTCGTCCAACACTGTCATCACTCCTCCTTTTATCCTTCCGGAGCTCCTCCGTGGGACTCGAGACCGGTGAGTGGCACAGGTGTCGTGCATTAGCATTTACTCCACCGGCCTCGCTCCGTTCCCACGGCTCTCGGCCCCGCCCCTCTTGTCACAATGAGCCAAAGATATCACACCACAGCCGACTGGGCAGGCTAATAGCAGCATATGATTCTAAAAAGAATTCCTGGCAATGCCCATGTGCCAAAGCAAGACAGTCATGTCTCCATAAAACAGTGGCTAAATGGCATCTTTTTACAACTACCGACATCTGTTCAGAACTACAGAGATTGATGCCAGGCTAGATCCAGTTGAGATTCATGATGACACACAAGTTCTTGAAATCAATGCAAGACCAGGTGGAGGTGAAGGGCCAGCATATCCTTCTGATGATGCAGGCCTCCAGAGGATGGTACAGTATTTACTGCAAAAAAAAGGTCTACCTTCCCAACTCCCCCAGCATTTGATCACTGGCTCCAAATCTTTGCAAGATTTTCCAAGGCAATTGATGCCAAAAGAAACATCTTGCGTGGAGTGTGCAGGGCATCTAAGTGAGCCAGTGCTCATTACAGCACGCGCCAAGCTTGTGACATATACTGGTGTTGTTGAAGGTGAGACATGTCAAAAAATATCATCCATGTCAGCTTAGCCATAATGATTTAGCTAAAAACAAAGTAAAAGCAAAGTTAGGGTTGTACAATAGGTGCACAGTGAATTTGCTATATAAAATATGATTGATATCAGTCAATAACACCTTATTCTACTTTTTCTTTTACTTTTTTTTAGGCTTTTCTACATACTGAAGGGCATGTCCTGTCTGTGGGCTGATGTACCGTTATCAAGAATGGAGTGATGGAATTCACAATTTCAATGACCATATTCTAATCACTCTTCATTTGTGTTGTCACGAATCCGGTCTATAAACTTCCGTTCACTCACCACCAGAGGTCACCCGCTCTCCACATGGACTCTCACACTACACAGACTGTTACACATCACCCTGGACTACATTTCCCATGCTCCATTGCACTAATCACAAGCTCACCTGAAACCAATCATACACAGCTGCTACCAATAACACACACTATATAAATCAGTCTCACACCACCATTCAACGCAGAGTATTGTTTGCACATATCGCTCAGTTAATGATAGCAACATTACAGAGCCCTTTTCCTAGTCTTGTATTTGTTCCTAGTTCTAGTCTAGTCTTGACTCGTGTTATTTGATTGCCTGGTTGCCTGATTTTCTGCCTGCCTTGGATTTCTATCGCCTTATCGTTTGGACTCTGTTTGCCCCTTTACTGGACTATCGCCTGTTTGTGGATTACCCATTTGCCTTGCCCTCTGGATTACGTTCGCCGATCGAAGACCCTCGCCTGCCCTAGGAATACTCTTTGCCTTGCCTGTGATGTACCTGTGTTGTTGTCTGAACCTTGCCCGTTTTGTGACCACGCCTTTGTAATAAAGCCTTGCACATGGATACACACGTCTCATGTTCTGATTACTCCGTAACATGTGTATTGTACTACGTACATCACTTCAGGTAAGAAGCACATTTAAAGGGCACCTATTATGCCCCTTTTTACAAGATGTAATATAAGTCTCAGGTGTTCCCAGAATGTGTCTGTTAAATTTCAGCTCAAAATACTCCACAGATCATTTATATCATTTTGAAAATGCCTATTTTGAGTGGAAGCAGAAACACACTGTTTTCGTGCCTGTATCTTTAAATGCAAATGAGCTGCTGCTCCCAGCCCCCCTTTCCAGAATAGGGCTGTGCTAGTACAGCTCATACCTCAAATACTCTGCCAAAAAAACATCTGTTTGGTTTTGATTATCATTAGGGGTGGCACAATACTATTTTTTCTAAACCGATCCCGATCCGATACCAAAAATTCTGAGTATCGGACAATACCGATACCAATCCGATACAGCGCAGGTTTTTTTTTTTTTTTTTTTAATCGGTGAAGAATTTCTATACCTCAGTGTGTCACCTCAGTACCTGATCATCACTCTTTTGTGTTACACACAATCTGCTAAATATAGACAACTTAATTATAAAGAAAAATAACAAATGAAAAAATATATGATCATAATCTATGAGAAAAATACTATTATAAACTAGGTTAGTGGATAATTCAGCAGCAACTCTAGAAAAAAAAATAAGTTCACAATTTTATAAAATGTAAACATTTAGAGAAAAAACATTATTTAAAAAAAATAATGTAAATACTTGTAATCTGGTCAAATGTTACACATTGCTCTTTGTGTTGTTGTAAAATGAAAAAAGTAATTATTATTATATATGAATATATGCAACATATGATAGATAAGACCGAACAAGAAGGCTATTAATAATATTTCATTGCGCAAAAGTATTATAATATGAAAGGCTCCAATACAGAGCGGCACAAAGCGCTTATGCGCATCCTGTGCATAGAATGATGCGCTTGAAGCAACATGGAGTCACAGAGCGTAGCGCTCCGCACAGAAAAGTTCAAAGCACAAAGGGAAGAGATATTAATATTGGTGTATTATATCTGTGCGATAGTTTGAGTCTCTTCTTTTATCCGTTTTAAATTACAGTTACTGTGCGCATGAAGAACAATTCATAGTGCTCTCTACTCCAGTGTAGTGATCTATCAGACACCCGTTAGAAATTAACATGCTTTAGAAACAGCACTAAACTCCAGCAAGATAAAGTCCTTTTATGCAAAACTCTTTATCTACAGATCAAGTATAACAATAGGAACATTGAATCATCTTGGAGCGAGTTTCATCATCTTGTCTGTCAAAACCTAACGTGATATGCAGTTTGAACGCTGACAGCCGCAGCGGAGAGAAGAGTTTACGTGAATTTGACTTAAATATTCATCTGTACCTCACATTAAACTAGGAACGGCTTCAGAACACTTGGAATATATTGCACGAAAACTTTATGGTGCTTTTATAAAGTGTTTGTGCCTTTTGTGGGGCTTAATAAACACAGAATAGTATACTCACTATATCGGATTTGGATCAGTCTTGTCTGACCGATTCCCCGATCCAGCAGAAAATGCCAGTATCGGAGCGATACCGATACTGAATATCGGATCGGTGCACCCCTAATTATAATGTCTATCGCGCTAAAATCATGCGGTTTAAAGCCATATTAGTTTAAACTTCTGATATAGTGTTTTCTGAGCGCACACATCCGAAGCATGTGCACAGAAAGCGGCTGTCACACGGCATGTGAGCATTAAACTAAGATCTCTTTTATGTCTTATTGCACTTAAACTGTCAAATACACACAAGTTTGTTAAAAACACACACAAGTTACAAAAATACAGTTGGTTATGTCTGTGAAGGTACAGCTGAGAAAGAAATTGCATGTTTATATTAGATCTGTGTATTAAGTGACATCAGCATAATATACATTACCTATGCTGCTGTCTACACTGTTAATATGACCCAACACTCTAAAAAACACTGGGTTAAAAACAGCCCAATTTGGGTTGTTTTTAACCCAAGGGCTGGGTAAATATAGGACAGAGCACATATGGGGTTAATTTTACCCAGCAAATTGGGTTGTTTATGTAACCCATCATAATGGGTTTATTTAACCTAGCTAATGGGTTGATTCATTTTTATTATAATATAGCTTATTTTTTTTCGAGATCCCACAGAGCTTTTTGAGTCTTCATTTCACTACTACAAAGGCAACGTGCCCCAAACATGCACTCTAAAAAACACTGGGTTAAAAACAACCCAATTTGGGTTGTTTTTAACCCAAGGGCTGGGTAAATATAGGACAGAGCACATATGGGGTTAATTTTACCCAGCAAATTGGGTTGTTTATGTAACCCATCATAATGGGTTTATTTAACCTAGCTAATGGGTTGATTCATTTTTATTATAATATAGCTTATTTTTTTACTTTATACATGAAATAATATTTACAGATGAACTTAAATCCACTCAATTTTTGGTAAAATACTCGTGCCCGAGCTGGAGTCATGTTCGGTGGGGAACTGCTCACGGCTGAGACCGCCGCCCTGCGTTTCACTCATAGCCGAACTATACTGCCACTGCCTTCATAACCTGTCCAAAAACAAACAGTAAACAGCTCTGAGGAAATATTTTAACATCCAAAGTATTTGTATTCTGTATCTTTATGAATAAAATCGTTTATTTTATGCAGAGTATCAGGCTTTTCCATCACGCGATAAGACCGACGTTAGGTGATTACACCGCGCGCCTGTATGTTGCTCTGCATGAAATTGAACGATTTACAGCACAGTAACGATTTTATATATAAAATAAAATGTACACAA